CTTCTCCTCCTCCCCCCCCCAAAATCATCTCACGATTCTTTATCATCTACATAAAAAAGCTCCGCGTGCTTACAAAAGCCATGGCAAACTCCAAACACGCATCCATCGTATCCCATAGGATTTCGTTTTCCTTATTTTTCTATCTAAATTCGAATCCCCAGCCAACCTCATCCAGCATCTTCCCACAGGATCACAACAAGGCGATCTCTGGAGTCTCGATACCTCGCGTATACTGTGTTGGACGTGAATGCGTTTTTCTGGCTTTTAGGACTTGCTCAGGTGTATCGACCATAATGCCCAGGGAGGGTCAGGGGGGTAGAGGGGTACCCTTGCGTGTTTTTCGCGCTTGCGAGATATACTGCTGCGTATTTTGATAAGGCCAAATCCAAGATATACCTGAGGAACGACGTGGGAAGATGAATAGGGGAGGGAAGGCTTACAGATCAGACAGATTAGAGACACAAGTCAAGAAAAGCTTCAGTGATTTCTAGCTTTACTAAAATGTCCCTAGATATTTTTCACCACCATCTTAATATATCTATAGGCATGAAAATGGATCAATGAAAATTTACTAAAAAATGTAAAAAAACAATCCATACCTTTACACGGGGACACTCGCGTTCGCGATTGCTCGTAAAATCTCCCAGGACTTATCCTTCCGTCGAACGCGATACGAGAATTCGAGAATTCTCGACGTATCGAAATAATCGATCGATCGTTAATACAGTCACGATATATCTGAAATGCCGCACTGACAACATATACACGCATATAGATCACCGCGTCTGCGCCAATAGTAAATTGAGTTGCCAGGATCGGAATGCTAGTAGCCGGGTATAGCTAGACTTTAGCTATAACCTATAGACGATAATACACGCACTGGGAATTATCGTTCTTAACCTCGTAGTTACGAGGTACAGACTATATTCACTCATTTCATCCACTAAAAGTGCGTGACTATTTCTCGAAGCCTTAATCAGACCGACCTTGTTCCGAAATAAGTTGCTCGGGTAGATTCCAGGTTTTAGAGAAAAAAAATTTTTTTTAATTATTTAACACCGGAGACCACGTAGGATAACAATGGGCTATCAGTCATAACTACTTATCGGCATAGCGGTGCAAGTCTAAAAAGAAAAAGCTCAACGGGAATGATAATGGCCAAGTGCATTGGACCAAGCTGGGCTTTTACGACGGTATATCTGCGAGTCTGCACGAGAGATCACAGACTGGGAGAGGGTGGCTTTGTTAGGTACACGAAGAAGGGGCTGGCTCGGGGGGTGGTGGGAAGGAGGAGCCAATCGGCTCGGACTTTGGCCCGAGTCGGTTCGAAGCAAATATAGTGTTTAGGCACGCCACAAGTTTTACGAGGTGACATAAATAAAAAGGTTAGTGCTTCGTGATGCGGTGTCAACCGAGCCAGTACGGTTTGAAACCCCCTCGTGTAATCGTCCCCGGGGGATGTAGCGTGACACCTACCATACCTGCACCCTTTTCATCCGCCACAATATCAAGCCGACCTATACCCACGTAGAGAATTCGGTCTCGCACGGCTGTGACACGATGTCTGCTGGTTCGTTAGGCTCCTAATTGAAAGATGAGCCAGGGAAATGGTAAAGGGGTTGAAATGAAGGAAAAATATTTTCCAACAATTTCAAAATCACCCCTTCGGAATAGAACGATATCGGGGGATGGTTAGGTAAAATGTCGAAGGTTTTAACGGGGATGAAAATTTTATATTTTTCCCTCGAATCGTTTAACAGCCTCACTTCGTAATGCACGGACTGATCACGTGGGTCCGAGGGATGAGCTTGCGGAGTCTGGATGGACCCTGGGCTGGGTTTGCCATCCCATCTGAAAGGGTTGAAGTGCGCTCATCCTGGTATTCCCGAACGACTTTCCGCAGCGGCAAGCGTTTGCTTAATATCTACTCTCGAATTCCGTAATAGCGTAAAAATGTTTACCCAAGGAGCGTCTGCTTTCATCTCCTCGTACTACCCCCTGCCGATCCCCCCTCCGCGCTAATCTTCATCCCTCTCGCCTCTTTTACCGTACCCAGACCGACCCCTATCAACCATCCCTTAACCGTTCCTCGTACCTCCAGCATCCCTTTCCCGGAACCCCACCGCATCTCTCTGGTTGGTTCTTTCGCGATGGTCCGGACCCACTGTGTGCTGAACAAACGGTTCTTCCTGTACTGGGTACATAAGCATTATCATTATCAAGGTTATTGTACGAGAAGTAAATTATTAATGTCCCGATGGGAGGGCCGCTGGATATCGGATAATAATCTATCGGGTGTCCGGAAGAAATTTTAATTTTGAAAAAAAAAAAGAAATTTCGTTTTCCGTCGTTCGTCCGGTGCCCATAATTTCTCATTGGTCGATGTTCCAATTTGCGATTATTAAGCCAACTCAGTTCTTTGCCCTCCGATGTATGATTATCAATTGGCTTCAGTCTCGTTATTTATTATAATTGCCACCTTTCGCATCCCTCTGGCAACGCTGGCCTTTTGCGCAATTTTAACGAGACTCCCGGCTGCGAAAATACCTGGTTCGCGATAATAAAGTATCTGGAGAAAAAAGAAAAAAATTTTGAAAATTCGCACGAGCCAGGGTTAGCATCGAATCGGAAAATATGTCTGCGCCAAGCACATCCGGGTCCATCGGGCAATAACGAAATTACTAAACGGTTCATTTTTTTTTCAACTTCCAACAGATCGTCTGTCGTTACACAATTTCGTTCGTTTTCTTTCGCGAATTTGTCTGAATTTTTTTTTTCTGCTTTCCACGTAAAGGGAGAAGAAGCAAGCCCCTAAAGTTCACGCTTTGATTTTACCCGCCGCCCTTCACCCCGACATCGAACCCACTGAACTAGCACGGCGACCAACGAGCAGCCCCCTCGCCCCCCTCCAGCAACCCCCCCGGCCACTGAACGCACCAGAGGGGTTTTCACGGGCGTTACGACTCGACAGAAATTAAATCGAAGTCTTTGACGGATACGCCAAGGGATGCGAATCGCGATTCGAGGAATTCACGTGGAAATTCCACGCGAGACTTATTTTTCCCGAACCTCCACCCCTCCGAAGTCTCGCCCCTACAATATTCCTCATTGACGAATAACGTCGCGCTCTAACGATCATTCCCAATTCCGAGCAATAAAATAAATGAAAATGACTGCGGGGATATGAAATAATTAATTGAAAAAAAAAAGTCCCTACCAAATTACCAAAAACGAGATAACACGTGGAGATAACCTTATAAACGAGATACCAACGGCAGCAGCTACTAACGTTTCGACGAGACTCAATTTGTAATAGGAACGCATCGTTTCCGTCTGCCTGCCGAATTACAACCAAACTCGAACGTAATTTCCTACCACAGCCAGACGTATCTAACCGCACGGCATTTTGCGTCGCAGTACGTTCCAAAATTCTTGCAAGGGACCCATTGCCAGGTGAATAACGCACCGATAGCAATATCGAATATTAATACCACGTGGGACGATCCGATCGATCGAGGCGGCCGCGGACTATAGCCAAAGTGAGCCGAACATTGAAGAAAATACATTATCATTCCCATCTGATTTCCTATTCGAGTAATCTTAAATCGAGTATACATCGATACATCGCGTGTCCCAGTCTGCCAGAAAGTTACTAGCTGCTCCCATGGAATACACCCCGGACTGTCCTGCAGACTATCCCGGCTCTTTAGAGACACGCGAGGCGGCCCCTAATATTTCAATCAAATATTTAGCCCTTAATGGTCTTACGCAGTGTGGGCAAAGCGAACTTAAAAGGGTTCCACCTCCTCGGACGGCCGTTTACGAGGCAGCTTAGTGCCACTTCTGACGACACGATGAATTAATCACTCCACCCCCACCTCACCCACCCCTCACACACGAACCAGCCCTCGTTCGCACCCCCTCGTTCACCCCCCTGCACTCTTTTCCCCTGAGTCAAGCAGGGGACTCGAGAAAATTTTTAAGAATTTTAAGTAAAACGTCCATATGGAAAAAAAAATTTCCAAAAATATTAGCCACCCTGACAAAAAAAAAATCCTCCACAAATCTAGTTTGTGTTTATTAAGCCTGTTGCGGACGCACCCTTAACCTTCCTCGGGGCGACGGTCGACCAGAGTCGCTCGTAGCTACGTTAACGAGCAGTTTTACGGCTTAATTATTAGCTCGACTGTACTCGAGAGACAAGGGCTGTTTGCACCCTCAGTGTTAACGCAATATGCTCACTCCGGGCACAGATGTAAACCCCCTCCCCCTCCTCCACCAACTCGGCCACAGTTTCTCTCTACAGACTATAGATATCGTACTCCCACACCTATCCTAGTCTCTTAACACGTAGTATAGAATCTGTATTGTATACGGTTGGGTATATACAGGTATAGTATGTCTAACTAGGAATAACTGTACCATATAACGTATCTTCGCTAACATCCGATACGTTTCCTCGGTCCTTTCCACGTGTCGTGCCCGGAGCCTGCGGAGACGCCAAGTTCAAAGGGTAAGGGTGCAGTAACCAGGATGGATTCCTTTGTGGCTGAAACTTCAGTGCCGTACAGTAAACACGTCTGGTCTACTATATAGCTAACAATGTCATTCCGCCATTGCAATAAGAGGTGTCACCCTTATCAGGAACTATTCCTCCCTTGGCTACAGACTGGCTCCTTCCGTCTGGACGATTACACGGACACGCTTCCGAGTGTACAGACAAGGGGTCATTCTCTTCTCGCAGTTTCTCATTTCTAGTATGAAAAGCAGAAATTCACAAGGGATGAGATTTTCCTGCGATGCTTCGAATTA